AAGGAGGGAGATCAGGATATGTGGATTGTTTGAGAGAGAGGATACTTACCTGTTGCTGATGTCGATATTGTACGCTGATGAACGTCTTCACGGGAGAACTGTGCCACGTGGCACTCTAATGTGATCAGGCCCTGTCAGGCTCCTTATTGGACATTGTTGATGATGTGGAAGCGAGGGGGAAGCCCGGGGAAGGAGAGGGAAATGTTGATCTACTATCTTTGTGTTCATTGATGGATACATCTCTTCCACCCTCCAAATTGGCAGATTGGCTATTCCCATCTCCTCTCTTCGTCCATTAATTACACAAGTGGGCCCGCTGCGGCAATGAGAGGCGTGGTAGTGCAAGCGCGCGCGATTGAAAAAAAAAGCATATATGTTTGATTGTGAAAAAAGGCACTCCTCCTCCTCCCCCTCCCGCTCCTCCTCCGCCAAACAACGTGACAAAGATCCCGCCATAGCCCCGCTTCCGCTCGTTCTCCTACTGCTCCTCCCTCTCCTCCTCCTCCTCCTTCTCCCGCGCTCGCCCCTGCTGCTTCTCCTTCTCCCACTGCTTCCCCTGCTGTTTCCCCCGTTCCTCCTTCCGCTCCTTCTCCCGCTCGTCCTCGTGCTCCTCCCGCTTCTCCTCCTCCACCTATATCTCCTCCCCCTCCTCCGGCTCCCGCGTGTTCGTTAACCCCCTCCCTGTTTCCCCTCCCGCTCCACTGTGCCGGTGTGAAATAACACGACGAACTCCCCCTCCCGCTCCTTCTACCGCCCCCCCGCTCCTTCTACCGCCCCTCCTCCCGCGCCTCGTCCGCCCCTTGCCGTTTCTCCTCGTGCTCCTTCTCCCGCTCCCAACCCCCTTCCCGTTTCCCCTGCCACTCCTCCTTCTCCAGCTCCTCCCCCCGCAGCTCCTCCGCCCCTTCGCATTTTCCCTCCTGCTCCTTCTCCCGCACCTGCTCCCGCCCCTCCTCCCACATCTCCTTTTCCCTCTCCTTTTCCCATCCCTCCTCCCGCTCCTCCTCCCGCTCCTCCTCCGCCAAACAACGTGACAAAGATCCCGCCATAGCCATCTCCTATGAAAAAAACGAAGAAAAATGGCCCGCCACGTGGCTAGCCGAGAGAGAGAGAGAGAGAGAGAGAGAGAGAGAGAGAGAGAGAGAGAGAGAGAGAGAGAGAGAGAGTCTCTCTCTCTCACACACACACACACACACACATGTAGTAGGTATATTTCCATGTCCTAGCGGAAGATTCATTCAATTTTGCTCATCTATCGATGCAAGTACCGTGAGGCCAGCTCAGGGGTTGGAGACTTACCTGTTCGGCGATGCGTATCTCATCCAATCTCTCTCTCTCTCTCTCTCTCTCTCTCTCTCTCTCTCTCTCTCTCTCTCTCTCTCTCTCTCTCT